ATGGTTTTACACCTTTTTACTTGATGAGTCAAATGCATTCGGAAATTATATACTACATTCGTTCTCTTTTAATTGCAACATTGGACTTTTTACACTATTCACATGTTCTACTTTGACTGTGTTTTATTTATTAATGTATTATAAATTAAATTTAAAAAAAAATATTTTTAAATTCCTGTCATTTTAAATTTTCAAAATCTGAATTTTTTTTACTAATAAGGAATGAAAGCTATTAGTGGTCAAACTTGTGTGTTGGCAAACGTGAAATGTGGACAGTTGCAATTAAAAAAGAACGGAGGAAGTATATACAAAAATATACTATCATGTCACACAAGTATCAAGAGACTTTTTTTTTTGAAGAAAACTTATTTACATTTTTCAACTAATAAGTTTAGATTTGGAATATTAGAAATTTAAAATTTTGCTTCTTTTTTCAATTCATACTTTTTCTACACTCATTTATTGTTACTACACTATTGTTAAACAATTTGCCCAAAACTATTGTAGTGAACTTTAAACACGTATATTATTAATAGATTTTTTCCAAATAAAAATACGAATAATTATATTTTTTTGATAAAAATATAACTAGTCCTTGTGTATGAGTAACTGAACAAGAGTTATTATAGTAATCGAGAACTAGTCAGTAGTCACTGAATTTTCACACTATTAGTCTATTTTAATATTTAGCAAAACTATCAAATAAGCTCCCGTACTACACCAAAAAAGTCGATTATGCCCTCATACTTTACAAACACTCAATTAAGTCCTCGAACTATTAAAAAACGTTCAATTAAGCCCTTTCGGTCGGTAAGTAATTGGTTTCCCGATTAAATGTAACCAGTTTCCCGGCAGCCGCCGATGCTAGGATTCGAGCACATTGTCGCCGTCGTCGCCGTTTAACCGGGAAACCGGTTACTTATCGACCAAAAGGACTTAATTGAAAGTTTTTTAATAATTCGAGAACTTAATTGAGTATTTGTAAAGTACGAGGGCCTAATTGATTTTTTGATGACGGACTTAATTTCCTTAATATTTTTATGGTTGTGTCGACGCAGCACTCCACGCGTCCCTGTCTATTTGTTCAGTAGGGAGATCACAGTGTTATCCTCATTCAAACTACGCCAACCAATCCAAAATGGTTCAAACTGCCACAATTCTCTTGCGCCAATTCTCCAATCCCGACTAACTGATGTTACCAGCTTTGCAATGGAGACCATTATTTCCACTCCCACTTTTCATCCACTCCACAATCTTCAAGCTTCAAGAACTCAACTTTCTTACCAAAAGCGTTCAAATCTCCTAACTTTGCCCAAACCCCTTCGTTGCAGCCTCATAAAAGTGGATTGCCGGCCAGAAAAGCAGCCTCTTTCTCTACCCAAAGTATGGATTCCGCAGGTCCATCAAGGGCTAACTGCGCTTGCAATTTCTTTGGCTCTAAATTTCTGCCCTGTTTTGCCCTCTGGCTCCGTGTTAGCTTCTGAGTTCGATGTTCTTAATGGAGGTCCGCCGAAGGAATCTTATGTTGTTGACGATGCTGGGGTCCTTAGCCGGGTCACAAGATCCGATTTGAAGCAATTGTTGTCCGATTTGGAGTCTAGGAAAGGCTACCACATTGACTTCATTACTGTCCGAAAGCTAACTGTAAGTTCGTGGGGTTTTCCACATCCTTTTAATTTTTGAAATATTATTAGATCAATTTTATTCGGCATATTTGTTTTTTTGGTTATGCAGTGACATGAAAATGATTAAGCTTTTTAAACTATCTATATTTTTCAGTAGCAACTAGTAACTACTGATGTTTGCTTCATTAGTTGAGGCAAAAGTTTACTTTGGGTTATACGAAGTATATACGATGATTTACTTGGATGGACTTATACTGTACGAGTAAGTCTTTATCCTGAATTCCCGAGATTTAGCTACAAGTATAAATAAAAAGCGTCATCCACATGGATGTAATAAAATCAAATTCCAGGGTCAATCCAAGGAGAAGGTGTGCTTAAGCTGATATTTAGATGTTTTCACTTAAACTGAATTTTTCTGGTGTTTGCTTAATTCGGGTCCGGTATGTCTGGTTTGTAAAGGTCTGTTTTATGCATATTTTACTTTTGATTATGTTTAGTTTGGTTCAGTTTGAACTGGTATGAGACTGAAACAGTCCAAGTGAAAACAACGTTAGTGAGGAGTAACCTTTAAACCATTCTGATGAGGGCTATGGGGAGGATAACCATATACTCTAACATTTTGTAAATATGAATTTAGTAAAGGAAGGATACACATTTTAAATTTAGGAAAGTTCTCTTAGACAAGACTCAAGAGGCAAGACTAAAAATATTCACTATTCCATTCTTTATTCTGTATCCAAAATGGAGTCCCTATTCAGATACAGGAGTCGCTAAACCTGTTGACAAGTTCTCTTAGACAAGACTCAAGAGGCAAGACTAAAAATATTCACTATTCCATTCTTTATTCTGTATCCAAAATGGAGTCCCTATTCAGATACAGGAGTCGCTAAACCTGTTGAAGTTTAAGGGGGAATTGGCAACCCACTTTTTTTCTTTCCAAATTTGAACTTGCACCCAATTTTTTATACCATTAATATTTTTACCTGAAGTTTGGGGTGCAACTCCAATTGATAAAAGATAAAGATAAAAGTATGGAATGCAACCCCAATTACCCCTAAATGTAATAGACTAATAGGACATAAATGACACGACTTGAAAAATACCTAAAGTATGAATAAAATGATAAGTATGGAGTATATTTTTTAAAAGGAACCGTTATTCTTGACGTTCTGACAATGCCATTGTCGTGTCCGCCGCTGGTCAGCATTGATTTCCTAACAATTGCCACACAATTTCTATGTTTATGTTTTGCTGCTATCCTATGCAATTACTCTTTAATTTATCTTTACCCATGACTTTATCCAAAGTTTTATCTAATCTTCATCAATCCTATATTTGATAAGTTAAGGTGAATAAGGAGACTGATAAAGGCTATACGATTTTTTTTCATTATTTTTTGAAAAACATGTCCCTCAAAAAATTATAGGAATGAACTTCAGGAATGTAGTTATTAGACAGTGAGTAATAAGAATGACTTATTGAATTGTCATGTACTGTGGCTGTAGAGCAAAGCTAGTGCATTTGAGTACGCTGACCAAGTTTTGGAGAGATGGTATCCCAGTGTTGAGGAAGGTAACAACAAGGGCTTAGTCGTGCTCGTAACTAGTCAAAAGGAAGGGGCAATCACAGGAGGGCCCGAATTTGTGAAGGCTGTTGGAGACACTGTTCTCGACGCTACTGCTTCAGAGAACCTGCCAGGTGATTTTTTTTGTCCTCACAACTTTTCATGTTTGGTTTTTGCATGCAAATAAATTGAGTTCATTTTTACTTTTTAGTAAAAAAACATGCAAGTGTTATTTTTTGGGAGTTTAGTTTAATAAACAAAATAAACACATTTTATTACAATTGGTTTCATAATATATATAGTACTCCGGGTACTTCTTTTGTCCTAGTATCTTTGTCTCATCTTTCATTTTTGCCCGCCTCACGGAATCAGTCCCATACAATATTTTGTAATTGGGTGGTGTAAACTCATTCTTACGTCCACAAATTCAATATTAACCGCATATTTCCATTTTTCCGTAGTATCACTACCACTTTCTTTTCCATTATTTTCAATGGAGCCAAAGACTCGCTGGCTTGGGAATATGATGGAATAAAGCAAAATGGCTCACTAAACTGTCCGCGCTTCTTTGTTATGAAGTAACAGTCAGTCTATGCAATTTTCGACGTGATTTTCACTATGGGTCATTCGGAAACAGTCTCTCTGTGCTTTAGTACAGGGGTAAGACTGCGTACATGGTACATCCGACCCCCTCCCCCCTTACCCCACCGTAGGTGGAAGCCTTTGCGGCATTGGGTAATGATGATGATCAGTACCACTTTCTTATCTCATGTCCCAAAGATAGGGAGACAGAGGGACTAGTTTATATGATGTTATAGAGTGAAAACTAGGACATGCATTCTGTATGTTAAGACTCAAGACTGCTTCTACCGACAAGAATATGGGTTGCAATTTGTGTAGTCCTGGCAACTGAGGAGAAGTACAATGAAGCTGTGTCTAGTGCTGCCAAGCGTCTTGTTGCTGCCATTGATGGGCTTCCTGATCCTGGCGGCCCCAAGTTCAAGGAGAACAAACGAGAAGCCAACTTCAAAACCAAGGAAGAGACAGATGAGAAAAGAGGGCAATTTACACTTGTAATTGGTGGTTTGTTAGTGATTGCTTTTGTTGTTCCAATGGCACAATATTATGCATATGTATCCAAAAAATGATCTGTACCCTAGGTTCTATTTTCATTTGACATGAGCAAACATGTGTACATTCTGTGTACAAACTGTGATCTGGGAAATAAGTCATTTATCAATACTAGTTTTGTGTACATTCTGTGTGTATAAACTGTGATTTGCCATAACTTTACTCTATTTGGTTTTCCTTTTTATTGTTGTTAGTCCAATATTGGAAAAATATAAGAGAGAATAATGAGAATTATGAGTTAAATAATGCCTGGGGTTGAACTGGCTAGTATATTAGATTCAATCTTTTAGCATTAATTTGCCCAATGCTTTATGACCCGGTTGAGTGAGTAATTAACCGGATAGATTCAAAATGACCTAGTTTTTTTAACTCTTAATTAGACATTGGCTTGAATTTATTAATAGATTGGACTTAAATCACTCAATCTCTTAACACAGTTTGACCGAAATGCCTTGTTAGTGACCAACCAGTTCAATTCAGAATGGCCCAGTTGTTTTAGAGTCCGACATCAGAATATAGAGAGAATGATGGGTTAACAAGACATTGGCCTGCACATATCAATATAATGAATATATTGAATTCAATCTTTTAGTGTAGGTTAATGCTAACCCATGATATAATACTGGTTCTCTGTCATTAGAGTAAATACTTTATCTTAACTGATAATAGCAATGAGATTGAGCAGATAAATGTTATGTCATTTATGAATTTCATTAGTTAATAGAGAGCGTGGTGAAAGAGTAAAACAGCAACAAGCATGTTAGATCGCTTGAACTTGAGTCATTTCTGTGGGAGGTGGATCTAAATATTTTCCAGTGAGGATTTGCATCGCAACATACTGATTTGCAGCATCTGTGTAATGAATGCCATCCCAGTTTATATATTCAATACTATCATCGCACCCTTTGGCTGTGATTGTTGTTCCATTTATAACCTTTGTTTGACCACATGATACTCGGCTGTCATAGTTCAGTGGAGGACCTCCAACTCCACAGCAAGCCATTGTGGCCTGCTGAAATCCTGCAAGACCGATTGTATGTTTAATAAGTATATGTGATGTGTATTTCCTCGCTCTACTAAAATTGGACTTCAATAAAATGCCCAAGAATATGTATATCAAAATCTGTAATTTGACTGAGTGTCTGCCATTACAGTGCTCTTTTGAAAATTTATAATTTCCATGGGACATCAATGTGTTTTGTACACGTATGGTGAAAATGCGGCACTGCTTTCTTTCCTGTCCAAAAAAGGCTTTGGATTCTCTGCACTTTAAGGGTTGTCCTGGTTCCAGATTGACCGGTTTTTGGGCTCAAGGCTGAATCATTTACTGTTCAAAGTTCAAACCCGGACTCCATAACTGGTCCAGATCTGGTCCAATTCCTCAAGAATAGGATCGGACCAGGTAGAAACTGAACCGCGCTTGGAACCCTACCAAATATTACAGGTTATGGTCAATCCCTTTCCAGGACCCGGAACCTTCCAGGCCAAAATCAGCCATACCAGGCCAACCTGTGACCTTAGTGGACTGCCCAATGCCCATCACTAAATCTGTGGCTAAAGTTATTATGTCACCCTATAAGTGTGAAAAGGTTTTATAGTGTTATATGATGTGGCTTTGATCCAACACAAACTTATCGTTCATTGCAGTGAAGGATATATATTTTCCCTTTAGAGTGATGACTTTCTCTGGTTAAGTTGCTTCACATTCAAGATCTTGATTTATTAATGTTTTATGAGAAAACAATAAAAAATAAACTAATGATTTAGACTGCCATAAGATAATCTAGTTTTGTTGCATAACTGGGGGAAGATGGGTGTCTTATTCATGCAATTTTGATTGGTGCTCACCATATTTGGAATAAGTAGCAATGAGATCAGACTTGATTGTGAAAATATCCACATAAGTAATAGTTGCATCAGTATATTTGCCTTGCAACTTCTTGCAGAGTGAATGAAGCTGCAGGTTGAATAGTCTAGCTGCCAGGTTATGTGAGTCCACACATCCCATCTCATCCAACTTTAATGGGTCAGTCCCGAACTTTGCAATATTTTGAGGTAAGCAGCCCAGAGGACCTGTGTTGTGGATCCAAAAATTTCTTGCCCCTCCTTGATCATAGAGTTCCTGAATGCAGAAAAGGCATCAACTATTATAAAACACTCTTATGGAATCGTCAAACTTTCAAACAGTAAATGTTTGGCATTTTCATTTTGGAGGTCAGAAAATTTTACCCCAACTCTGTTTTCAAACTCTAACAGAATGACAGGAACCGAAGCAATAACTTGATCTAGAGTCTTGGAATAAAAGGCACCAGCAAGATCATTCTGGCCTATATCAAACGTGTAAAGCCCTTTCTGGAAAAAATCTTCAGCTGGTATATACTTTTCATATTTTCTTGCTGTAAAGACATCAAATTGCATTAAATGACAAGGAAAATTCTGTTACTCTTAAGTCATAAATGCCCGTCTAACTTTGTTTTTTTGAAGTTGATTTAGTTACGTTTGTGTTTTTATTATCTTCATAGCCTCCTCCTCTGTCATTCTCATTTCTGACTCTAGTTAACTGTCAAATCTAAAATCTAATGATACTGTTAAATATACTCTTAAAAGTCAAAACACTTTCACATTCATCATTATAAGACATTACTTTGTTTATCCTCCTCCTCTTCCAAAGATATATCTACTACGAGTAGCAAAGACCAGCAGTCATGACTTAAAATGGAAGAAAAGTTTTTTTTATTAATAAGAACAAATATTTTACATCAACTTTGTTAGATTTGACCATTATGTAGAGCCAAGTGGGATAAATATTAACTGGATAGGGACGTTGCGAGAATGATCAAAGTTCAAGAGATAACTAATTGACTTGAAAACACAAGGTCGGAATAGCAATTATAACCAACCTCGCGGTACTGTTAAAATTTTCACTAGATGATGTGTAGGGAAATTAAAGATATTTATTTATTTGTTTATTTATTTATTTATTATTGAGATCAACTTACAACTCTTAGCTTGAATTTCAAGAACTCGAGACTTGAACCTAAGAAACTGGGAAACTTGAATCCCTAACGAGAAGGGGCTGACAGATGATGCTGTTGCTGCAAGTATAGTGGAACCAGCTGCTGCAAAGTTGCATCCTTTTTTGAAAGTTGGCGTGCCAATGGAATCCAAATAGGGGTTCAACAATGGCAGATCCATTGCGTCCACTGCTAACATTAAAGTCAATTATGGTAAACAGTTACTATGTTTAATACACACAAGCCAATGAGGAGAAAATTGTTAAGAATTATTGTTAAGAAAACTAGATGCCAAAATGTAAAAAGCAATGCACAAATTTATGTGGACCCCCTTCACGATCCCCAGATTCGGACCAATTTTGCTTATGAGAAAAACGATAAGTAAATTTAGTATGTCAATGTACTCTATAGAAGCACGTTGACGTGATGAATGGTGAAGATTCTCCCATCTTAAAGAATAGGAGAATCTACAACACTCATCACACCAATGTGCTCCGTAGTTAGCACATTGGGTTGGCGTGCTCACTATATTTTGCAGGGAAAAAGAAATACTATTGGAGACGCATGATAGTGAGACCTCATATTGGATTTGACAGGCACCACTAATTTCATCAATCAGATTCAAAACATCTAAAAAATTATAGAAATTTGGTAAGTTCATCTTGTTTTCCTCAATATTTGACTTTCACCTAGCGTCGGGTACAAAGTCAGTTATTAAGTTAAAAAAAGAAATGGACTCGGTTGGGATGCTTTGGGGGGTAAACACCAAATTTTGCAAAATGCACTCACATAGAAAGTCAATGATCAACCGTCCATCGCAAAATCTCCCAGAGGGTTTCTTGAAGTAAACATGTCCATTTGGAGGGTCAAGGCGGTCGCCAACCCCTGCAACAAGCTCTCCCGTATCGGAGTTCGAATCCCCAAAGTTGAAAACTGCGGGGTAATTGAAGTCAATGGCATTGGCATTGAAGAAACCAATCAAGAACAGTGCAAGAACTTGAAGAACGGCTGCAGGAGCTATTGAAGCCATTTATAATGTTTTATTGAAGCTATTAAATATGTCTGTTTCTATAGGCTTTATAGCCATTATAAATAGTAGTCATTTTAGTCTGGTGAGGTTTTGAGTGTGCCTAAAGTTGTTTAAGAATTAAGGATGTGGGAAAGACCATAGCGTGCAGTGTACTGTTGCTTTTATATCCTTGCCAGGCTGCCAGCATAATGGCTCCTATGATTAGTCCATTCTTTGCATTATAATGTAAACAGAATGATAAGGACAGTTTTCAACATACTATCAGTCAAATTAAACGACATGTTTCCTGATGGTTATCCTATCAATTTTGCGGTCAGGACAACAACAAACATTTCAACTTATTGTCGTTCACGGGGTGGACACGGTCCCGGTTCTTGGCAGAGACCTCAAATTTTTACCCTGAATCTCATGACTAGCCATATATTGTTCTAGTTATTCTATAATTGGATTGGACAGGTCGGTTCCGGTTAGGATTTGAACTGTCTGTGCTTATTTCCTTTCAAAAATCCAGTTGGGAACTGGAGCTTGTGGGATAACTAGTTTGGATGCGGTTAAGGTTACACCATTTGGGGAATCAAACAAGTCTTGAACTAGAAGGGGTCGTTCTTATATTTCGCTTGATAAAGTTAACTTAAGTTTATCTTGTGAACTTAAGTTTTGTAAAATTTGGATGATTCTAGGTGCATATATGAAATGTTGTTTGGATAATTATTAGATTAGTCCATGTGAATGCAGTTGATTTTCATGATAAATATTAAAATACATATTACTCCATTTATTAATAGAACTTAAAAGTACATATTAAAAATTGGATTACTTAAGGCTTTATGAAGTTTTACCAAGTGAAACTAGATTTTAAAAAAGTAAACAGATGAGGTGAATGCATTTTAACTTCAATGGACAACTATTAGACTAATATATTTGATACTTAATAGGTAGCATGTTTTTATTTGGAACATTATCCTAAAAAGTATGTATGACTAATTCATTGATCTTAACATTGAAGCGACCAGAAAATCACCATGCAAGGTGGTGGTTGTGTTTTGCCAACTTTTTAGTTTTATGATTTAATTTAAAGGTTACATGATATGTGGTATATGATAAAATATACTCCATCCATCCCAATTTGATGGTCTTGTTTCTTTTGGGCACAAAGATTAAGAATGTGTGGTAGAAAGATTAAAGAATCTTACTTTATTGTATTATTCATCCTTTTACTTTTACTGTTCATAAAAAAGGAGATGTATAAATGGTAATCCACTTTTAGTTCTTTACCAAAAAAAAAAACAAGACTATCATTTTGTGACATTCCAAAAAGGAAATATAAGACCATCATTTTGGGATGGACTCGAAGGAGGGAGTACGTAGTATCTTGTAGTGTGATGATGACATTTATGATAGAAGGTAACTCGTATTATAATGGGCTAAGCGTAGAGCAAAAAAAAAAAGCTACCTCATATGTAACTCTTATTTCCATTAAACTTTTCTAACTTTGCCTTTTTGCTTCCAAAAGTAAAAACATCGCTACTTTCTATTTATTTATTTTTTTAATTTTTATTTCTCTTACTCTTTACAAATCTCAACCAAACAAATTTTACTTCTTTATTTGATTTTCATGTTCAAAATTGAAATCTACAACGGGACGAAGGGAGTATAAATCAAAACAATGCATACATATACATTAGTTATACTAATGTATATGTATGAAGAGTAATCTTCCGGTCAGGAAATTCCTGACCAGAGCGCCGTCCGGCCTCCTCCTTTTGGGGGCCTTCCCGGTGGTATTTTTTGCTCAAATTTTTTGTGTATATTCCTCATCAAGTCTAGTTCATCCATACCAAATTTCAGCAACAAATTCAATCGGGAAGGTCGTCAAATGATTTTTGCAAGTTAACTGATCCGGAATATGTATTTTCCGGACCAGTTAACTTTCAAAAATCATTTGACGACCTTCCCGATTGAATTTTTTGCTGCAATTTGGTATGAATGAACTAGACTTGATGATGAACATACACATAAAATTTTAGCAAAAAATACCACCGGGAAGACCCCCAAATGAAGGAGGCCGGACAGGAGTTCCTGTCCGGAAATTCCGGACAGGAATATTCCTGTATGTATGAAATACTTTAGGTACGTTAGAGTGGTATTGAAATACTTTTGATTTGATACATTATGAGTCGCAATACTCATTATGAGTCAAAAATCATAAATCCTCTATAAACTAGCATTACTTAAGTTTGAAACTGATAAAAGTTGATTCATAATACGGAGTATTAGTTATCTTCTCAAATTTTAAATATAATATTTATTCACTCATTAGTTACACGAAGTTTATAAAATTTTGCATACAAGCTAGAAAAAATGACATTTATTTCTAACAAGCTATCAGTTGTACTATGAGAAGGATATGTGAAGAAACCTGGGACCAGAGTTCCATTTCCTCTACACAAAGCAAATATTAGAAATTGCTTCCACGAGTGGCAAGCTTCAACCTTTGGTGTATATAATCTAGGTAAAGTTATGAAAGGGCGTTATTGAAGCAATCAGTTCTACCAAAACACCAATGTGGCAATAATAGATATTATTAAAAACGTGTCTAGGACATTTTACTTTTTACCATAAAACAGTGACAATCTCCTTTTTACTCTTTTAGTGTGTCACTACATACTTGACTTAGTACAAAATATAGAGAAGTTTGAATCAAAGTATTACAGTGATAGACATAGTACGAATCATAGATTAATTTTTTTAAGGGAACGGTTTTTGTGGTCAAACAAAGAAGAACAATGCACCCATAGTTGTTCCACAATTATATTAGTATACTATAATTTGCATCTTTTAGTCTCTCATTGTTCCACAATAGGTATTTTATGGAGATTAAGAAAAATAGTACTCCCTTGCAAAAAAAAAAAGACAGTACTTTCTCTATCCTAATTTGATGGTCTTGTTTCTTTTGGGCACAAAGATTAAGAAAATGTGATAGAAAGACTAAAAAACCGTACTTTATTGTACTACCCATCCTTTTACTTTTACTGTTTCATTAAAAAGGAGGGACATAAATGGTAATACACTTTTATTTCTTTATAAAAAAGGGAAACAAGACCATCATTTTGGGACATCCCAAAAAGGAAATACAGGACTATCATTTTGGGATAGAGCGAGTACTACGTACATATTCTACAATAATAATTGAGGTGGAAAAGGTATAAAAAGGAGAGAGGGAAAATAGGAAATAGAAGAAGATAACGTGGAAAAATATGAACAATAAAGAAAAGGTAAGAAAGAAAATATGAAAAAAGTAGAAAAATTTAGAAAAGAGTCAAAAAAGAAAAAACAAACATGTGTAACACAAAAAATGTATATACGAATTTTGAATTTGGATCCTCTCCGGTAACCAGAGACTTAGAGAGTTCCAATTGGAGAGAGATAGAGAAGAAGAAATTTTGGGTGGGGTATATGAATGCGTAAGATAGAAAAAAAAGTAGAGAGAGATAAAAAGAAAATAAGAAATAAATGAGAAATGGAGAAGACAAATGGAGAAGGGTTGAACCCAAACATTTAACTTGTGTATAGTGAGTGCAGAAAATGCGAGAAACAAAATTAAAAATTAAAACAAAATAGAATACAACATATGGGGGACTGGGGGAAAATATTTGTGTTTACATGTTTTTTCATATGTAAATATTTACATATTTTTTCAAATAACTTTGTTAGTATCCAATTTAGAATTAGTTAGTACACAATCAACATAAATTGCAATACTTTTCTAACAATGCATTGCATTATAAAGTATATCACATTAATCATAAAAATTCATTACAACTTAACCATAGAAAATTTCCATTAAAAACCTTGTGAAGATGAAAAAATTGGAATCTCAATGTTTCTAAAACGCGAATTAATTAAGGAAACATGCTTCCCAAATCATTTTAATTACAGAAGCAGCTCCAAAAAAATGAAATTCAAAGTTTCATAGTTTCCGAAACAGGGAAACATGTGTCCACGTGAAGTTTCCATGCTTCTTAGGTGCCAACTATCGGTAGTATTATTCTTTGACCAAACACATTTTATCCTTTCTTTGGGGGGGAGTTTGGACTTTGGAGGAGCTCAGCCCATTCTTGCCAAATGCATCTCACCTAAGTTTTAGGTGTTCGAGATCTGTGCTAAGTAAGCGCCGCCAACACACTAAAATTAGTCTGATCTCTCTATATATTTAGTAAAAAAGTACAGGTGTAAATAACAGCACTCTTAAGGAAAGAAAATTCATTGCGCCTAAAACTTAGCATTGAATTGTTACAACTCAGAAATGCTCAGAAGTACCCCAAGACGGCCTCCTTCACTTGCTCAAATAGGAAACACATAGCATCCTTATGCTAGACTGTTGGTAGGACTTTGCATAAGGAAGCAAGTCAAATGGTTTTGCCCTCTCAGTAATGTCTAACACAGACAGATTTGCTTCATCAGCTAAGGTAAGAAAACAATTAAATGTGTCGATATTACGAACCACTGACGCAATATAAGCAACAGGCAACCTTGGGAGTCCATTCTGCAAATTTGCATCATTCTGCTCATTATTTCGTGTTGATTTACCCAAAGATCCATCATTACTGCTATCATCAGGTTGTAAACCTTCTTGGCTAAGAAGAATGACCAGGACTCGAATAAGGTGTGGCAGACACAATGGATCATAAATAACATCTGCACCCAAACTATACTGAGACAAAGTCAAGAAACACTTCTCTGAAACACGAAATAGTCTGGGGAATAGTGAATATGCTCACACTATATCCGGGTTGATCTGTTGAAGACCACTTTCAGCTGCAGATTCCCAGGGCAAATGCAAGCATTGTACCTAAGAATGAAAAAAAATCTCAGCCCAGATAGTGTTGCTTACAACAAAATCAAGTTTTACTGCCTCCATTATTTTTAGGTGTCAAATTAGGTTTCTCCATACATACTACGAAAGAAAGATTTTTTTCTAAGAACAAGATGAATGTAGTAGTATAATATGACTATGTGGCATTAATTTGTGGATGGAAAGGGTTTTATGGTGGAAAATGATCAGTTAATGCTCCCTTGGCATCTTAAAGCGCCACTCA